TGTCAAGAATCGACACTGCCAATTGGTAGGATTTGTTTCAAAGAAACCAGTACGTTCTTTTGAATACTTGCGCTGAAGGGAAATTAAAGTTTTTACGAATGGAACTGAGCGCACAGTGATAAGAAGCTTGAGAATTCATCATGTTATAAATTTATGGGGGCGCTTGTGACTCACACATGGACTGTAACTCATGATCAGGTAGGTATTGATGATGATGATGATCCTTAAAGCTTTGTCAGTTTTTGTTCTCAAGCTTTCGTTTTTCATATATTTGTTACTGCTTGGTTTGAGGATTTTATAAATTTTGGAGAACGTGTATTTTATTTCTTTTTATGTTAATGCTGTTATTAGTGGATATGATTGTGTATTTGGTAGCTTACCATAACAGCTCTATGTACTTTTCATTTCGTACAACTTCTCTAATTAATCCTTTATGCTCCATTTTCAATACTTTAATCATTTTTTTAAAAAATAAAAGAAATTGGAACTTTCCGTGGAATAGAATATTTCCAGACATTTCAAGAATGCTTGTATTGGCCTGTCTTTAGAGGGTTGTCTGGATAGCATTAGATATTCAGACTGCAATGCCAGAAAACCGTGTATTCAGATATCACTCGCTCTCTATAAGCTTCTATAATGCAATGAAAAGTAAGTTTAGTCTGCACTGTTAGGGACTATTTTACATTCATTTCCGTCCTGTTGTGCCATGCCAAATGGGAAACACCAACTAATTCTAAGCGTACATTTAATCTTGTTAATCCCTTCTTATGAACTCACTATTTGGGTTAAAAAGTTAAAGACGAGAATATTAGCAGAATATTTACATAGGAGGTTAGCTTGTTTACCGAATAGCTGACAACTGGTGTCATTTGCACTGGTGTCCTGCATTGTGTTAGTCTTGATAGATGCTTTGGTTTGCCAGTATCCTTAACGTGATGTGAAAAGTAGCATGTAGTTTCAAATTATGTGAAGGCTTGACCATTATCACAAGCATGAGTTATTAACAGAAATATCGTAAACTAATATGTATTTTGAATAAATTTCACGCTGGTGATAGCTGCCTTCTTCATTAGCATAACAGTGTCAAATTCCATTGTTATTGATGACTTCATCTACATAAATAACTGTCATTATTGAACATAGTCAGTAATATTAGCTCTTGTTAGCCTGAAACAACTCGAAATGTTTAGAAGCCAGTATGCTACTCGAGTCAAGCTGATTTTTAAATCAATGAAGCAAATTCCATTGGGACCGATTTCTATGGTTTACACATGAAAAC